TACTTACCCTAGGAATTCAAAATTGCATCCAAGAAGAAGCCTCTGCAGTCATGTGACCTGGAATTCAGTCACTCCTGCATTGGTGGCCATTTTGAATCCCATGACTTCCCTTTTTTCATCTGGGGTTATGACGCAATTTCTGGAGACCCATATGGTCGGCACATTTTTCCCCCGGTCACATGGCCAATCAAGATCTAAGAATTTTGTAGGCAGTGCAGTTTTATTCTCAATAGCTGCTGCATGGAGCATCCTTGGTGGGGCTTGAAGACTGGATGCTACAGCTGTTGGCTGTTCCCGCTGGCTTGATGCTGTCTGCAAATATGATGATGTGGTTCAGCCCTGGAAGCTTAAACTTTGTGTGCCAGCCACTCTGTTAACCTGCCCTACTTCACAGGGTTGTTTTTTTAGGTGAGGATTCAGGACCAGCCTTCAGCTCGTGGTGGGGAGAGTTAGAGGGGAGAGCCATGAATCAATCAATCCAGGGTAAACATGGGTAGCATGTGGCTGCTACTGTTCCTTTTTCCCCTGGCAGAGAGCCAAGGGAGCTGCTGCTGTCCCCTAGCTGGGAGGAAATCACCCCCTCCCCACTTTGGGCACCTGCCTGGAGACAATTCCTGGGCAGAAGGCTGCACAGCCTTGCTAGAAACAGCCGATAGGCAGGTGGCAGGACTCAGGAGGTCCCACACCAAAGCCTCTCTACTCACTTAACAATGGCGGTGATCATTTAACTCACTTAACAACTTATTTGATTCGATTAGCAAGCTTAGTAAAAAAAATGTACTAAAATTGAGTATTTTACGAAAATTTTGATTTACAACCTTAATAGGCGGTTTCCATTAGGGTCATACCTTGAGGACTACCTGACCTCTGATCCTGCTGTTCTCTGGGCCCAGGATGCGAACAAGGCCATTCTGCTCAATCAGAAGGGATTTTATCTGAGCATCACATGTGTGAACACACCAATTAGGGTTTTGTTCATCCAGATTTAGGGTATAGTGTGTTCTGAAAACTCAGCCGTATGTACTGTATTGTTCATTACATAGTTGAATGTGTTGACAACAAAGTCACACAAAAATTATCAATGGAAATCAAATTTAGCAACCCATGGAGGTCTGGCTTTGGAGTTACACTCAAAATTAAAGTGGAAAACAATACTACAAGCTGATCCAACTTTGATGTAATGTCCTTAAAACAAGTCAAAATGAGGCTCAGTAGTGTGTGTGGCCTCCACATGCCTGTATGACCTCCCTACAATGCCTGGGCATGCCCCTGATGAGGTGGTGGATGGTCTCCTGAGGGATCTCCTCCCACACCTGGACTAAAGCATCCCCCAACTCCTGGACAGTCTGTGGTGCAACGTGGCATTGGTGGATGGAGCGAGACATGATGTCCCAGATGTGCTCAATTGGATTCAGGTCTGGGGAACGGGCGGGCCAGTCCATAGCATCAATGCCTTCGTCTTGCAGGAACTGTTGACACACTCCAGCCACATGAGGTCTAGCATTGTCTTGCATTAGGAGGAACCCAGGGCCAACCGCACCAGCATATGGTCTCACAAGAGTTCTGAGGATCTCATCTCGGTACCTAATGGCAGTCAGGCTACCTCTGGCGAGCACATGGAGGGCTGTGCGGCCCCCTAAAGAAATGCCACCCCACACCATTACTGACCCACTGCCAAACCGGTCATGCTGGAGGATGTTGCAGGCAGCAGAACGTTCTCCACAGTGTCTCCAGAACCTGTCACGTCTGTCACGTGCTCAGTGTGAACCTGCTTTCATCTGTGAAGAGCACAGGGTGCCAGTGGCGAATTTGCCAATCTTGGTGTTGTCTGGCAAATGCCAAATGTCCTGCACGTTGTTGGGCTGTAAGCACAACCCCCACCTGTGGATGTCGGGCCCTCATATCACCCTCATGGAGTCTGTTTCTGACCGTTTGAGCAGCCACATGCATATTTGTGGCCCGCTGGAGGTCATTTTGCAGGGCTCTGGCAGTGCTCCTCCTGTCCCTCCTTGCACAAAGGTGGAGGTAGCGGTCCTGATGCTGGGTTGTTGCCCTCCTATGGCCTCCTCCACATCTCCTGATGTACTGGCCTGTCTCCTGGTAGCGCCTCCATGCTCTGGACATTACGCTGACAGACAGCAAACCTTCCTGCCACAGCTCACATTGATGTGCCATCCTGGATGAGCTGCACTACCTGAGCCACTTGTGTGGGTTGTAGACCCACATGCTACCACTAGAGTGAAAGCACTGCCAGCATTCAAAAGTGACCAAACCATCAGCCAGAAAGCATAGGACCTGAGAAGTGGTCTGTGGTCACCACCTGCAGAACAACTCCTTTATTGGGGATGTCTTGCTAACTGCCTCTGCTTTCCACCTGTTGTCTATTCCATTTGCACAACAGCATGTGAAATTCATTGTCAATCAGTGTTGCTACCTAAGTGGACAGTTTGATTTCACAGAAGTGTGATTGACTTGGAGTTACATTGTGTTGTTTAAGTGTTCCCTTTATTTTTTTGAGCAGTGTATATTGTCGTGTTTACTGGCTTAATGCAACATACTAGTTGAAAATCGCTCTTGCTTATTAGGGGACTCCTACATTATGTGACCACAGATAATTCAGTAAAAAGCAAACTAAAGTTGGACCCTCCAAGTTTCCTCTGATCACTACCAGACAGATTTATGTGCAGGTGAGCACCTATCAGGGATATCTGGGTAGGGAGGGGGATGTCAAGAAAATGAACAGAAAAGATGGTGATAATGACTGTTCAAAGATCCACCCCTTTTTAATGTGTCTTGCAAGGAAAAAAGAGAAAACAAAAGCTGGGCTTCCATCCCATTGTTCCCTCATGACCTCTGCCTTGTCTTTTTGACCCGGGCCTGCAAATTCTCTTAACACGTACTTATTTCTGAAGAAGACTTTGTGGGCCAGAGGTATTTTTCTCGATGATGATGATGATGCTAAAGACCAATGTTTTGCTTTGCAACAGATCTTCTTTCCTTCTTTAAAAATACTAAATTAGTCACAAGCAACCAGCATGGAGGCCACCAAGGGAGATGTCCATGGACACTTTGAGACTCGTGACACCAGAGTAGAAGCTTACTAAGGATGTGGGAATGAAAATACATGATGACCATCTCGTGGTGAGAAGGGTGACAACTTTAATATGTATAAATAAATGGCAGACCCCACTTCACTGGTTGCATTCAAGGAGAGTCTAAAATAGTCACAGCTCTTTAATCTGGAGGCCTGGATTCCAGTATCATTGTCTGCTTTTGGTTCTAAAGTGTAACCTCCACACAAGTTATCAGATCAGGCCATAGCTAAAACAGAACAAATTGGCTCTAAGGACAAATAGAAAAGTTGCCACAGGTGTCTTTGAACAGGTAGAATAAATTGTAAATTATATCACAGGAAAAGGATGAGAAGACCAACATGTCTAAAATGTGTTCTTCCAAAATAGGAAAAATAATTGGAAGCCTCCATCATGCTTATCCATGGTTAACTTACTGTTAGCTTGGGGAATTATTCAAATTAATCTTCATTTATGTTGCATACCAAAATGTCAGCTAAGCACACTAGGCTAAAATATAGTTGTTTACTAAATCCACCTTTTGGTATAACTCTGTATGTTCTTGAAAAAAAAATCTGTGAGGGTGCTGAAGATTCTCTTGAACTAGCAGTCAGATTCTGGCAGTATTGCCACTTCTGGTTTATTGTTTTGTATGTTTTAATTGCCCTTAGATGATTTTATGCAAAGTCTCTTTTTTATTAATTGATTTTTTATAATATAGCAGGAAGGCAATTTCATAAAAGGGATGAATGTGGTTTCCCCATATGAATGCAGGATGGGAACCCCACCAGGGAGCAGAAATTAGAGGATTTTACTGACATTCCACTGATTTCTAGGCATCTCATCTCATCTCATCTCTGGACATCCCAGAAATTTTGAGCCAAGTGTGAGCCATGGCTCTGTCTTGCGAGCAACCTATCACAAAAAAATAAACAACAACTAAAAGCATGTATTAATAAAACCTGGGGGAAGTTTGCTTTTTTGTGTTGACCAATTATGTTGCCTCTCCAAAGCAAGTGGGAGTTTTAAGTGTACATGGCCACACGTGGCTTAACAGTTTCACAACGTTGTCTTTCTCTCCCAGCTCCAGCACAGGCTGAGGGTGGCCTCCAAGCATGGTATCTGCCTAAGCTTTGTTCTCTGTTGTCTTGGGAGGGTCCAGGGGCTGAGAACAGAGGCCGTGGGGCAGCAGGCGTCCTGCTGAGGTGGGGGAGAGGCCTCTATTAATTAAAACTATCCCAAAGAGCCCCCATAATGAGGCAGGAAGCCTCCCTCAGGTAGGCATTCAGCCTTGCTACCCATATCCAGGCTGCCATCTGGGGATCACATAGACACGGGGGGGGGGGGGCGTGTTCTATGTGTAACCCGCCACTCCACAGGCTGCTATGCTTTTGGGGGGCCCAGCACCCTGGTCTCTCTTCTGGTCTTTTGGGTCTTAACCCCCACCCCCACCCCCCCACACACACACGCACCCAGCACAGCCCATAATTATTTCAAATGTGTAGTAAACTGGAAATATTAAATGCAGGATACAGAGCCAGGCACAGGTTTTTCAGAGGGGGCTCCCTATAGTTGGGGGAAGAATCCCTTGCCCCACTGCCCTTCCCCAGATCCTGGAAAATAAGGGACGTTTAGAATAAGTGAAAACGGGAAACAGGAGGGTTAAAGCCACCAGAAATTTAAAGTGAGCTTTTGAGAAACCTCAAGATCCAGGAACTATCCTCAATGCATTTGGAGACATGGGAAGTTGGGAGAACCCCAAATGTTGGGCTTGCAGAAATGAAAAGCCAGCAAAACCAAAACGAACAGACTTTACCAGAAAAGAAACTTGAGAGGAACAGACGTTACCCCACCCCTGGCCCAAAGTCATTTTTAATTTTGGCAAGGACTCCTCTGTCTTGCAGGAAGTGGGTGGTTAGTGCCTCTTGCCCTGTAACTGGGGCATGTTGATGGTTCCCCCACACAGAACTCCTGGTGCCTAACTCTGCCCGAGAGCCCTTCAAACTGCATCAGGTAGAACTGCCTGGCCAGGTACTTGGCCATTTCTTTGAGGGCAAAGGAAGCGGCCATGATCTCCGAGGTGAGGAAGCAGAGGAGGATACCATGCACCGCCATTTCCAGAGGCATCTGGATCACCTGATGGTCCGTCAGGATGAACAGCAAGACGGGCATCTCAATGACGAAAGACAGGAGGAGGAATCCAGCCAGCTCTGGAACCTGTGGGAGCCAAGGGGGAGGGGGGATGGTTCCATGCAGTGCTTACCTTTCAAGAGACTAACCTGGTGTCAACCCTGAAGCTGACCTCACCAAAGCCATCTTGGAGCTTTAGTGTTGCCACACCGGAGCTAAGGGATAGAGAGTGGGGGAATAGAGATAGCTGGGCTTTTGTGGTCAAAACAAAATATTTTCTCTTGGGAACCAAGGACATTCTTAAATCTGATCAGAGGGAGGAGGGGTGATGTCACCAGGCAACCAGATGGCACCTTGATTGGATCATGTGACTGTTTGGAAGGGGGGGGACTTTTAATTAGATGAAAACTCTGGGAACCTTCAGAGTTGGTTTTCCTCAGAATTCTGCCAATATGATATATCCAAATAAAACTATTCTTTGAGGAATCTACCTGCCTCGAAATTTTGTTCACCGTGGGTGTATTACTTGGAACTGACACTTGGCCCCTAAATTCATCATGAATTTCAACCAAATCTCAGAAGCCTCTGGGCATCCTTGAAAACCAAAACTGTTCCTCTTAATGCTCTTCTCTGCCTCAATATTTTAGATTAATTGAATGTGTTTTGAAAACTCACCAGATATTTGATATTTGACACCTGCTCAGGTGTATCCACAGGAAGGATCTGAAAAGGTCAGAGGGCAGCCTTGCCCAACAATTGAAACTCCACTCTATATGAGAGCTGTTAGGAATGATAGTCACCTAACAGTTGGGTTGGCAATATATAAGCCAGGATAGTCATTTAATACTGTTGTATCTTTAAGAGAATGTTGTAATTGTGATTGGCTGAGGTTCCTCCAATGGCCATAAGATGGAGCCAGAAACCTGGTTTGTTCTTCTTTGCATTTCCTTTTTGCCTTTTGCCTGAACGTCATTCTGCTTGAATTGCTGTGAGTCTTGCAACTGTTCACAAACTCCGTTTACTGAACTTTGTTTATGATACTGATAAAGAAAAGGACTTCGTTTTTGGATTATCCCTGGACTGATTGTTTTGAATACTAACTGCTTTAACTGTGTATGATTTGGACTGTTTGTTGGACTTTGTTTACCCGTTTACTGGAAGTAAAAACTTAACATTTTACTATTTAGTGTATCTGTATGCTGGTTGTGTGTTATGCAACACCACTCTCACTATGTTTCCCTGAGTGGACTCATTCTCCTAATGGGGAATGCCTCAACATGAGCCCTACAACAACTTCTCTTTCAGGGCTGCAGCTGCAGGGACCCCAGACTCTTCAATTTCGGTGGAAGATATTTAGCGATAATGTCTAAATTTATCCACAACTGGATTGACATTCAAGGCTGTCCTATAGTGAATGAGCCAGAATCAAGAGGCACCTGCTCTCTCCAAGGACTTGTCTTCTGGGAGCAAAATTGATACTCAAAACAGCAAATCGGGGTTGCAGGAAACACCCACTGGCAAATGTGGAATGTTGCATCTGTTTCGACATTGATAAATGATTCACAACTCTAACAGAGAAATGCCCACACTCCCTCCTCATCTTTCATAAAAAGTCTGCAGAAGAAGGAAAACCACTGAAGGAGATGCACTGTCTCTTTCTCCCCTTAGCAACCGAGGCCTCCACACTGTTTGCTGCCTTCCCACAATGCTGGGCATCCTTTCCAATTCCAATTTTATCTGCTCTGCTATTGGGTAGATGGTTAAAAAGGTTAAGATGAGGTCCATGACTGCAGAGTTCAGTTTGGGAGTTGTGTGCATGTGTGCCACACGAATGATGCATACAAACAACAGCTTCAATCATATCACTACGGTTGTCCCCTTCAACATTTTTGGCCAAGTTCTGTAGATGCCCTTCTTGAGCAGGTCCAGAGAGCCACAGAATGCAGCATCGCAGGCTCATTCTGCTGACTGCCAGGAGTTCAAATCCCATTGGGCTCAAGATTGACTCAGCTTTCCATCCTTCCGAGGTGGTAAAAATGAGGACCCAGATTGTTGGGGGCAAGAGGCTGACTCTGTAAACCACTTAGGGTGGTAAAAGCACTGTGAAGTGGCATATAAGTCTAACGGCTATTTGCTATTGCTCTTCCTCCCTCCCTCCCTCCCTCCCTCCCTCCCTCCTTCCTTCCTTCCTTCCTTCCATGGGGCATAGTGGTTAGAATGCAGTATTGCAAGCAATCTCTGCCCACTGCCAATAGTTCGATCCTGACTGGCTCAATGTTTACAATGCTGATATTGTAAACCGCTTAGAGAGGCTGTAAAGCACTGTGAACCGGTATATAAGTCTTAAGTGCTATTGCTGTTGCTATTCAGATGCACCTTTAGAGAAGTTCCTTTAGTCTCTCAGTGGCAAGATATTTCAGTTTGGATAATAGATTCCAGAAAGGCACCTTGATGAACATCTTGATAAACCTCTCCTCTATTCCCCCCCCTCCTTATTTCAATTTTTGGAGAGTAATTTAAGCAAATGATCACCCTAGATGTTGTGGTTCGCCTGCAGGCGGCAGTGGAGTCAGACAGTGGGGAAGAAAGGGAACCACTCAGGGAATCTGAAGAGGACTTAGATGAGGGTCCTGTGTCCGATGCAGGGATGTGGGCAGGACCATCTGGGAGTGGGGTGCTGCCTCTGGAGCCTCCGGAGTCTGGCAGCAGCGAAGCAGAGGACCCAAGGGAGCCTGTTCCCAGTGCGCGTGTGCACAGAGCTTCCAGAAGGCGAGAGCAGCTGAAGCAGCCGGGGCAACTCGGAAGTAAGGCTGGGATGTGATTGCCCCTCCCATAAGGGATAAAAGTCAGACCACAATGACTAAAACTTTGCAGGAAGCAAAGCAGTTCAATTAGATTCTGAATCCTTGAAGCTCTGCGTACTCTGGTCGGTTTTTTTCTGATACTTCGGGGGTGGGTTCTGTTCTAATTACTTTGAAGACTTCTGTTTTTGGCAGCATTCCACAGCACCGACAAGCGTGGGCTTATCCTGGGGAACTGTGTTTAATTGGCTGTGGCTGGGAATGCAAGTAATTCCCAGCGTTGCAATAAAATAGGTTTTGCTTTTAAAATAAGTTTGTATTTAAGTACGTTTGACGAAGCCTGGGTCAGAACACTAGAAGTCCAGATCTCATTCTGTGGCTCTGAAGGAATGAGGTCCATCGGGAGTCTTCATAGGAAGGGAGTCACAAGGGCCAAGATGGCGGCCTTGCTCTTTTGTATGTGCCCTAGAGGATGGCATGGTTGTGGACGCCATCTGGACTTTTGCCTTCCTCCCCCACCATCACCATCACCACAGGATCCATGGCATCTCATGATTTCCCATGTATGAGTTGTGCCCGCCGTGAGAATCTTGTGTTTAAAAAGAAAGCTAAGCAGAGCAGCTGAGTCTCCTGTCATTCCTTACCTTTTCTTGCAAATTCCCAATGTATCCAAGGAAGAGGCGGGCCGATTCTGCTCCGACAATTGTCACATACGCAGCAACCAACAAGCATTGGTAGTAAAGGGACAGCAAGCTAAACTGCAGTGACATAAAAAGAGATGGGGGGTCTTTTCCAATGGGCCCCTCCTGCCATGCTCCTCCTGTCCCTCCTGCCCCTCTTCAGAGCCTTATCCAGCCCAAGGATTTCTCCAACTATAAGCCCCAGGCTCCAGTCACGCCACAGACTGGAAAACCTCCCTCCCACTATCCCAAGCAGGGGACGAAGTTCCCCTCTGCAGCTGCCCCAGGGCACTTTACCTTCAGCTCCAGCATAATTGCCTCCGACAGAGACCAGAAGGGAAGGAAGATGACGTTGAAATAGAGCAGCATCTGAAGGGGCAGGCTGGAGAGCGCCGTGTGGCCTTCAGGGGACAGAAGAAAAGTGCAGTGAAAAACCGCTTTCCTTCTTGTTTTTGGTTTTGTGACGGGTCTTTAAATCCTAGAACAGGGATCCCACTGGCTGGAGAATTCTGGGAGTTGAAGTCCACTAGTCTTAAAGTGGCCAAGTTTGGAGACCTCTGAATACGGGAGCGGAAGAAGCCTTTTGCCTTCAGGTTCAGGACAGGGATCCAAATCAAAGCCCCCCCCCCACCTTGAACACATCCAAGGAAGTCCGTAGAGATTCTCCATCATCCAGGCCACGGTTGTCCCAAAGGGGCTTTTTCAGGAGGCAAACTGGACTTTCCTGTTTTTGCTTTTGGAGAAAGAATTCTTGAATTTTCTTTATAAATCCTTCCATTCCATTCCCCACCGCCCTGTCAGAGCTGAAGAAGCTTCTTGGGTGAGAAGTGAAACATCTTCAAAAGAAAAAAGTCCAGTTGCCTCCTGAAAAAGCCCCTTTGGGACCCCCAAGGAAGGAGCCCCTCTTTGGGGTCTGAGCCACCATCAAGCTGCTTTTACTCTTGACAAGTTTTTCCTGATGTTCTGCTATTTCAGGTCGCCATGTCGTCTCAAATTCCATCAAATGCATGGGTGGGGTTGAGTACATTTTTGAGCATTTGGTGGGATCTCCACAAGACAGGTGTCCCAGGTGGGTTTCTGTCTTAGGACCCACACGTGCAATCAGTTCCAAGCCAAAAGAGCAGAGGCCTTCCCTTCACATCCCTTTGATCCAGAGCCCCCACTGAGGGCCCCCAGGAGGCCTTGGGGACCAGCAGATGTGCCATGAGTTCAAGTCCACAAGTCTTAAAGTGCCCAAGGTTGGAGACCCCTGTTTTACGGCCATTCGTGATTTGGATGCTTTTGAGACCCCTACAGCAGTGGGGGTGGGGAACCTGGCTGGCTCAGGAATTCTGGGAGTTGAAGTCCACAAGTCATAAAGGGCCAAGGTTCCCCAATCCTGCTTTACAGCCTTGAACCCTCACCCAACCATCTCAACCCAACCATCCAGCCTTTCTGACCTTGTTGGCTTCAGCATTGGGAAGGGAGGGCAGACTGGTCCTCCTTGCAAATGAGGGTGGGGGTATGTGTGAGACCCTCCTGTGCTGTACTCCCACCCTCCATCCCAGATACCTAGCTGGTAGCCCTCAGCCATGCTGCTGTCCTAGGTCTAGACGTGGCTGGAGAGAGAGAGAGAGAGAGAGAGACCAAAAGTCACCAAGCCTTCCAGAGATCCAGGGGCAAGTGGCAGCCCTCATCCTCTCCTGTCCCCCTCCCCCATCCCCAGCCGGATCACATGAGACATGTGGTAGTTGTGCTTAATCACATTATCAGGCCAGGCTGATGATGTCCCCAACTGTCCTTCAAGCCAGGGCTCTGGGCTAATCTAGCGGTGCTCAAAATAGAAGGTAGGAAGGATGAGAACATGACAATGGCTGACGTTGCCAGATTGCAAAGCCCCCATCTCTCTCTCTGTCCTGTGGCAACCACTGGGGAAATGCTACCGGTTTGGCTCGGTTCAACCAAACCGGTAGTAAAATAAACAAATAAGTAAAGCTCCAACAGTCAGCTGAGAGGAGAAAGGAGAGGAAAGCTCAGGATCGGCCCTCCCACCCCTGCGCTTTTCTCTTCTTTCTCCCCTCAGCTGACTGGCACGGCAGAGCCTCAGCTGGTGCTTGGAAAGCTGCGCGTGCATGTTAAGTGTGCACGCGCACACAGGCGTGATAGGTAGGGAAACTGGTAGAATCCCACCACTCGTTGCAGCCCTTCCTTTAGAGCACAGACAAGGGGTCTGTTCTGACCCAGCTCCCCAAGCACGACAGTTCCCTCTGGCGGGAACTCCAAAGATTCCTTTCTTAGGAGTGCCGGCAGCCCCGGCAAAAGTCTCCCTCTCTCAGGCTGACAAGCCCAGCCGGCTGGAAGAGGAAGAGTTGTCTGCCGCATCTATTCCTAGCAGCTTCACTAGCAGCAGCGGTGGCTCTTTTGGCCCATATACTTCCACTGCTCTCCTCTCCTCTGCCTTCTGTGCACCCACACATCAGACACTGGAGCCAGCTGTTCCTCCTCTTCCTCATCAGCCACCTCCAGACCTGGGCGCTATTGACTGGCCATCTGAGGGCTGACGGACAGCCCAGGCTCCGCCTATCTCTCTCTCTCTGCCAGCTCCATTCCCTCTTCCCCCTCGGAGTTCTCAGGTTGCCCTGATGCTGACCCCGACTCCCACGCCTCCTCCTCCTCCTCTGATTCAGCTGCTGGAGGGGCCGGTGATCCTAGAGCTCTTCAGTCTATGCCAGGGGTCTCCAAACTTGGCAGCTTTAAGACTTTGGGGACTCCCAACTCCCAGAATTCTCCAGCCAGTGCTTGCAGAGGTGAGATGTGCAAAGGGACTTCCCAGCATCACATGCTCTGTCCTTCCAGCTCAGCTCTCATCTGTCTTGGCAGTGAAACCATTTAAAGCAGCTGCATGAATTGCTGCTTTGTGATGCCTGCTGTCCGTCTTTGGCAGCAGCCTTGCTTCTGCCACTCCTCTTCTGTTTTCGGAAAGCGCTCTTGAAAATACATTGTGCTTTCCCATATCAAAAGAGAAACCTTTTAGCCATAAGTAGAGTTCAGGTTGAGATTAGGGTTGGAGACCTTCCAGTCGGACAGCCACGCGGATGGCTCCCAGTTACTCAGAGGTCTGAATGTATGCACGAGACGCAGGGGACTCCACCATCAAGATGGTGGCCACATTTAAACCAAGTTTCCAAAGCGCCTCTGCTTTATGCGCAGGTGCAGTTCATGTGCTGACCATCATACTGATGTACGATCACCATATGAAAAATGTGTGCAAAACTTTACATGCTGTGTACACAGGGTGTTCCCCCCTAATGTTTTCTTTTCTCTGTTCTGTTTAGTAAAATAAATACAGGCAAACAACAGCTATTGCTATTCCTTTTCTCCTTCCTTCCTCCCTCCCTCCCCTCCTCCCTGTGGTTAGAATGCAAGCTAATTTGCAGGCTAATTCTGCTGACTGCCAGCAGTTCGATCCACCTTCCATCCTTCCGAGGGGGGTAAAATGAGGACCCAGATTGTTTGGGGCAAGAGGCTGACTCTGGAAACTGCTTAGAGAGGGCTGTAAAGCACTGTGAAGCAGAATAGAAGTCTAAGGGCTAGTGCTATTGCTCTTCCTTTTCCCCTTCCTTCCTTCCTTCCTTCCTTCCTTCCTTCCTTCCTTCCTTCCATCCATCCATCCATCCATCCATCCATCCATCCATGGTGTGCAATGGTTAGAGTGCATGCAGTACTGCAAGGCTACTTCTGCTGCCTGCCAGCTGCCTGCAATTTGCCAGTTCAAAATATCACCAGGCTCCAGGTTGACTCAGCCTTCTGTCCTTCCGAGGCGGGTAAAATGAGGACCCAGATTGTTGGGGGCCAGAGGCTGACTCTGGAAACCGCTTAGAGAGGCCTGGAAAGCCCTGTGAAGCAGTCTATAAGTCTAAGGGCCATTGCTAGAGTATCCACATGCTGGGAAGCAGCCAGAGGCCAGGAGGAAGTTTACTCTTGGACTACATCTCCCATTTCCCAACCTAACACGTTTTCAGCCAGGAATGCAAGACATGATGGAAGCTGTAGCCCAACAGGAGTGGAAGACGCCTTCCTCCTCTCCCCGGATGTTCAGCCTTTCTCCTCGGTGAACGTTCAGCTCCATGGAGCAGACTGGCACCTGCCTTAGGGTCCAGGTGAGTGTGGTTGGCCTGCAAGTGCCTCCTCTTTCCCTTCCCAGTTTCCTGCCCCCTTTAGACCAGTGGTGGGATTCAAATTGTTTTACTACCGGTTCTGTGGGTGTGGCTTGGTGGGCGTGGCAGGGGAAGGATACTGCAACTTCCCCGTTCCCTCCCCACCCCACTAACCTGCTTTCCAGCTCCCTTCTCCTGGGCAGGGCAACCAAAGAAGACCCAGCTGATCAGCTGTGGGTGTGGCTTGATGGGCATGGTGTTCCGTGGGCGTGGCTTGGTGACTTGGGTGTGGTTTGGTGGGTGTGGCTTGGTGGGAGTGGCAGGGGAAGGATATTGCAAGATACCCCTTCCCTCCCCACCCCACTAACCTGCTTTCCAGCTCCGTTCTCCTGGGCAGGGCAACCGAAGGAGACCCAGCCAATCAGCCGGGACTCGATGGGAGGCAGAGAAGAGATGGGGTTGGCGGGGCCAGTCAGAGGGGGCATTGGCCGGTTCTCCGGACTACTCAAAATTTCCGTTACCAGATCTCCAGAACTGGCCAGAACCTGTTGAATACCACCACTGCTTTAGACCACGGTGAGTGCCACATTTCTTCCACCAAGAGCGAAGCACTGGAGACCAGCATAACACAGAGGCATGGCATATATTCGGTTTATTAAGAACATTTTTAAAAAGTGGGGAGATTGTGATGGGATGCAGGGAGAGACCATGTTAGGCCAGCCCAACCGCCCTCTTACTTGTGCACCTGGGATGGGGAGCCACCGGGGGGCGGGGGGAGGGGTCCAAAGGGTGTACAGGGAGTCCTCAAATTACGACCGCCATTGGGACCAGAATTTCTGTTGCTGAACGAGTTGCTCCCAATTTCATGACCTTTTTTCACCACCGCTGTTAAGTGAATCACTGCAGTTAAGTGAATTAAAGGAAACTGGTCATTAAGTGAAACTGGTTTTCCCTCCCTTGACTTTGGGTGTTGGAAGTCGGCTGGGAACGTCACAAAATTGTGACCCTGGGACTCTGCAACCCTCGAAAATACATGCCAGTTGCTAAGCATGCGATTTTGAATACAATGACCGTGGGAATGCTGCAATAGCCATACATGCCAGGACTTGTTGTAAGTTACTATTTTTCAGGGCC